GCGTCGCTCATTCCCGTAGCCAATGGGAGGCGGCCGGGTAGAGGTTACCGGTTTGGTTTTTTTCTGATGGGGCGGGGCGAGCGGCGGAAGGAGGGACTTGCTGGGGGCGGGGCTTGCCAGCCTTCCCTTCCCTAGTGGCCCTCTCGCCACCCCGACCCGAGCTTCCCGGGCTCTCGGTGCATTTCCTTAGAGTCCAGTATTTGGTTTTCCTTATTTCTCCGGGCCTTATTCTCTTTTTACCCCCACCTTGCGTCTAACGACCCTCTTTCCAGCCCTCATTCATCCTTTGCCAACCCCCACCCCTCATTCTCTTTGTCTCCTGGGAGGATAACTCTCTTTGGGCCCCCAGTGCGTTTAGGGCCTTATTAAATGACATATTAATTTTTCTTGTTCCTAGATGAGTATTCAGTCAACAAACACTGGCTAAGCACATACTATATGTGACATAATTCACTAAGTATTTATTTTGTTGAATTACTTTAAAAGTTCCCACGTCCAGGGCACATGACTGCGCAAAGCCTTTCATAGAGAGGACCCAGGTCTCTTTAGAGTCCAGGGGGGCTTCGGCTTCAGGGTTTCCTTCCTTGCCCTGGGAGGAGCCTTAGCAATGCTTTCTATTGGTCACGTGTCTTGTAAAATTTGCAAAAGAAAAAGTATAAGCTAAGACTACGGTATCTCTGCTTTTCCCTCCTATGTTTGGAGTGGACTTGAGCATTTTGTTTTTGTATTAGTAACGTACTGGTAATAGTTTATTTGTAGTGATTTACACTTAAAACAGCCCTGATTCTGGCAAAAGCACTTATGAGTACAGTGGGGTCCAAGAGTGGTAGTGACTGGCAGGGCTTGCTGGAGCCAGTGGCACTAGAGCTTGGGCTGGAAGATTTGCCAGACAAACAGGAGAAAGTCATTCCAAGCAGAGGGAGCAAAGGGAGTAAACAAAAGCACCGTGAAGAGGAAGCTGGCGGCCAATGACAGATTTTGGGGTGGGAGGCGGCACTGTCTGTGTGTTCTCTTCTTGATGGACACTTGGGTAGTTTTCACATCACATAGATGGATTGGTACAGTGTGATATTTCAAA